TAGTTCAAGCTAGCCTAGAGCAAACACTAATCCTTCTGCTTTAGCCTCAGTGCTGGGACCACAGGTGTGCACTGCCACGCCCGGCTCAGAAATGGTTCTTACAGAGGCCTGTTTGTGATTGTGCTGTCCCTTGGGTTGGATGGAACCTACGCACCTAAGAGAGGGCTTGAAATCATTGTTTTGGTTGTGAGCTGACTGGGAATACTGGGGGAATAATGGCGGAGACCTGGGAGGAACCTGGCCAGGAGAAAGAAAGCTGCAAAGCCTGATTGGACTCAGGAAGCTCTCTTGGAGGGCAGAGGCTGGCTGATGAAGCCAGAGTCCTGCACCCTGCTTTAGGCAGCCCCCGGTTGGGCTGAGCGTCTCCGGGCCTCAGGTGAAGCTAAGAAGAGTGCAGACTTCTAAGCCTGTTCCCCGGGTGGTGTGGATGGAAAACCAAGGGCCATGGGAGACCACACACAGAGTCCAGGGGCAGGCTGTGGCTCAGACCCTCGGAGCCTTTCCACCTGCCTCTTCCTGACCCCTACTTTCCTTGGTTTAAGCTCCAGCTATGCCTAGAAAGAAACTGCATGGAAACCGCCCAGGAGCAGTGATTCCTGGATTCTCTTTTCCCAGCCAGGACCAAAAGGAAGAAGTCTCTTCCCACTGCATCAGGGAAGGGAGTCTTTCTCTCCGCAGTTTTCCTTGTTTCAGAGTCTCTGACTTTTAGCAATTACCCTCCTTGCACACCAACACTAGGCATCTTCCTGCTAGGCTGGAAGTCATTAGAGTGCAAGGAGGTTGACTCTTCTGTTATTAGTGAGGTAATTCTGAGCTGTTTATGGCTGCTGCCACTTCAAAGACACTACTGGGTCTACAGAGAGAATGGCTTTGACATTTATAGGGCAACCAAAGATCTAATGAACCAGTTTTCTAGTGCCTGGAGGATCCTCTTACAAGAAGATCCATCCCACACAGAAATGTCTGGAAATTTATGGGACATATCCAGCCAAGGGTGTATACTAACCCTATGCTTCATTTTCATGACACCTCATGACCAGATAGGCAAAGGGCTCTGAGTGTGCTTTAGAGAGGAGGCCTCGGTCACGTGGTCTCAACTGAGAGCTGCACTTTAGCAGGAGTGGGATGGGGGATTCAGTTCTTTCTTTGGAAACTACTGACAGAGTCTGCAGGGAACATTCGATCCACTCACCCAGTGGCCAATATGTCAGAGCACAAGTCCTGTGAGAAAGTGAACTCACACTTGGAAAGTGAACCCCACTGTGGAAAATAGCTGGAGATGGAGCTCCTCCGAAGAGCAAGGTGGGGAGCTTCCAGATGAACTTCACTCGCCACTGGAGGTACCCCTTCCTCTGGGGACCACCCAGAGGCACAGGGTCTGTAAGACTCTTATTGTGCAGAGAAGGAAAATTAGATCCCAGAACACTGAGGGTCTGCTTGGGTTTTCCAGAAAGCTGATCCAGAGGCAAAGGCGTGGGAACTGGTGGGTTAGTTGAAAGTAGTTTGAGAAAATAGAAGGAAGGAATGGGGAGGAGGAGGCAAGGAACCAAGGACTGGCAATAAAGAATGTGCTCTCTAGGGCAAGACTGGATTCTTCTGGGTCGTCTGGAGGAGAGGTCCAGGGCCTTCCTACCCCCGGTCTCTTGGGGATTAACTTCTGCACTTACAGGCTGTGGTTGTGGGTGGGCTGAGCCCCTGCAGGGCAGAAGGGCTCTGGGACACTACATGGGAAGAAGCGGCCTTTGGGCAAACCTTTTCAGCACAAGGTGAATCTGAGCTCACATGAGCTTTCCATCTCAGGGGCTGCTGAAATCCAGATGAGTCCAGGATGGAGCTGTTTGGGGCACCAGTAGATTTAAACTTAAACTGAAGGTCCGGACAGCCAGTGAGTTCTACCCACAGCTGTAACACAGGAGTTAGAAACTTATGAATGCAGATGCACACAATTTTGCACTGGCATAAAATCACACACACAAATGCATGCACTCATTTGAATCTTAGCATATGAAAGGATTGTGGAAATAAGTGAAAATAAAATGAGAAAACAGAGGCTGTTTCTGTGTTTGCTGTAGCAGGGGAGCCAGCCACTGGAAGTTTCTACAGTAGGAAACAAGAGGCTTCAGTGTGCCCAGATTGGAGGCTGTTGGCCCAGGGAAGCCGTAGGCCTCATGGTTAGAAGTGGGACATCCTGCCTGATTGGCTGGGGTGCACAGTTTCCTCTGGTTGGTTCTAAATTGGATTGCTGTGAGGGGTAGCAGTCTGATTTCTACGAGTCTTACAAGAGGTGGTTTCCTGGGCTGTTTGTTGTGGGTAAGAGATTGGTTTCCTGGTGGTTGCTGCAGATTGTATGCCAGTGGTCTGTTTTAATATAGGGTCTGACCATTACTCATTTGTATATTCAGTCTCTCAGCATTTTAAAGGTTAAAGAACAGGAATGCCCCTCCCCGGCAGATGGCCAACTGTAAGGCCTATTCTTTTTTTTTTTTGTTATTGGGGCTTGAACCAGAGCCTTTGCACTGCGGTACTCCCCCAGACATTTTTTTACTTTTTATTTTGAGGCAAGGTCTTGCTAAGTCAATGCTGGGCTCAAACTTGTGACCTTCCTGCCTCTGCTCCCAGAGCACTGGGATTGCAGAGATGTCCCACCATGTGTAAGGTCTCTTTTGGAATCTATTTAGCATCAAGAAATTCATTACCTCTATGGGAACCAGTTCTCTATCCATAGGGAGATTCTCATTTATACAGGCCCTGCGTCTTCCACATTGCAATGCTGCTTTTGCTTTGTGAAGCAACGTAGAGTAAGTTTCCCCTGGCCTCTCTCAGCAGCCCTTCTCACACAAAAGGCAGTGCGGGGTGGTGGCCAGTCTTTTTTATTGCTCCAGCTAGAGGATGAGGGTGCTTTTGGTGCCAGGAGTTATGTCTTATTTGAAGGAAAGCCGTCACATTTTATGAAACATGTTAGCTTGCCCTCTCCCCTTTGGTTCCCTTAAAAATTCAAGAAGTGAGACAGATACTGAAGACATGGGCTCAAAGGAGAAGGGAATCCTAGATGATTTGTACAGCAGAGCCAAGATTCAAAATCAGGCTTCTTGATGGGCACAGTGACACATGCCTGCAATCCCAGCTACTCAGGAGGCCGAGGTAGAAGGATCATAAGTTCAAGACCAGCCTGGGAAACTTAGAAAGACTATGTCTCAAAAAACAAACAAAAACAAAACCAATCTTCTTCATTCTGTGTCTCATTCTCTAGGTGGATGGAGTCTAGGCTTTGCCATAGACTAGCTGGGCGATCTGCCTTTCTGAGCAGTGAGGGGGTAGGGACAGATTAAGTTGCCTTGGGACTAAGCCTTGGGGTACAACCACAAATGTACCTCGTTAGTTGGTGTCAGAGAGCTGTGGAAAGAAAATCTTTTCCCTCCTGTAGCCTCCTGCGGCAGCTGTCTTCCAGCCTCCCTTGCCTAGCCCAGGCAGGTCTCAATTGAGCAGTGAGTGGCTATCTTAACAATTCCTTTAACTTTAAGTACTTATCTATACCCCTTAGGGATTGTGATGGGGAAAATAAGCAAGTACCACAGGGCCCCCCGGGGTGGGGGAAATCATCCCAGCATTTCTTAGAACAGATTGAGAAACAAACAGACAAACAAACAAGCAAACAACAAGCACTCACCCACAAGTTGTAAATTTCTAGCATGTCTTCGAGAAGAAACCAAGATAAGTAAGAATTAATTATCCTGTTTGCTCTTGAGCATAGAAGCTGGGGGACCAGAAACCAGCAGCCAATTGTTTGTGGTTAGCTGGGTATACCCATTTCGGAACACTGGAGAAGCCAGCTCCTTTCCTGGGTGAGGGAAGGCAAAGTCTTTATTCAAGCTTTGTGCTTCATAGAGGTCTTCCCCATACTATCTGTAAGGGAAACAGGCTTTTACTATGATGGTGGCTGGCCAGGATCTGGTTTCCTTGATCCTCACTGTAGCAGCACCCCTGATGGAAGAGTAAGGGAAGAGGAGGAGGGCAGATGACCTCTGAGGATCTGTGCTAATTTCCTATGGTTGGCATAGTAAATTGCCACAAACAGTGGTTTAAAGAACCAGAAAGTTACTTCCTCCCAGGTCTATAGGCTGAAAGTCTGAGGTCTGGGTGGCAGTAGGAACACAGTTCCCCCAACGTCTCTAGGGGTGAATCTTTCCTTGCCTGTTTCAGCTGGCTTTCTTTGGTTTGAGGCAGCATAACTCCAATCTATGCCTCTGTCTCCACATAGCCTTCTCCTTTTATCTTCTTATAAGCACACTTGTCGTTGGATTTAGGATCCATACCAACTCTGGATGAGCTCGTGTCAAGATCCTTAATTTAATTATATCAGAAAAGACCATTTTTTCAAAGATGATTATGTTCACAGGTTGGAATCTATTCTTTTTTAGGGTCACCATTCAATCTACTATAGTGTTTAAACACTTTGCAGAGTTATGTCCTATACTTCTCCTAATACAGTGATGAGAGCATTATTCTCATTTTCCAGAAGAGAAAACTAGGGTTTAGTGGAAAGAGATAACTTGTTTAAGTTCACACCATTGGTAAGTAGCTGGACTAGGTTGGAAACTTAGGGCTTCATCAGCAGACATGTGGGAAAGGTCCAGAATTTGGAAAGGTAAGGAGTATGCAAGATTGACCCAGTGAAGAGTATCTGAGACCAGTTTTGTCTTGTTAGAAAGATTTGTGTGGTCCATCCCAAGCTCCTAGGGCAGAGAAGGTGAGCTTCATGGGCGCCAGAAGCATCCTGCCCCC